ATCCCGCTCTTCGGGTGGGCTGGCCAAGGCCGCACTCGCCCGGCCCGGGGTGCGGGGCCTCCGAGACCTCCACTGCCTCAAAAAGCAGGACCACTGCTTCGGCAAAAAAACGTCAGGGGTCCCAGAAAAATACGATTGGGGCCCCGCACGTGCTTACGTTTATGGGAGTCAGACCCCGTCCCCGGAGCTGCCCGTCCCCGCGGCTGCAGAGCGGCGAAAGCTTCCTATTTGCAACCAGAACCGTCTGAGCTACTGGGCATGCCCAGTCCCACCGCTCAGGCTTGCAGGAGCTCGAGTGTCTCGATTTCAATTATCTAATTCTTACAGGCAGCAGTAACGGGAGGATTTTATAGGCGGTTTTATTTCTAAAGATAATAACCGTACTGTAATAATGCTTCTTTTTAAAAGCCGGGGAATTTTACATTTGATCTTAGAGTGAAAAATCATTTGCTTTTTGAGAAGTACTACCTTTCTGTGAATTTATTACTTGTAGAAACACAAAAAACATCACATAGTCTGCTAGATATATATATATATATACACATATATATGCGCAAAAGGGGATCTACCGGATAAAATCAAGTGGATCCTCCCAAAATGTCCCTAGAGCCAGAAGCCTNCAAAAAACATCACATAGTCTGCTAGATATATATATATACACACATATATGCGCAAAAGGGGATCTGCCGGATAAAATCAAGTGGATCCTCCCAAAATGTCCCTAGAGCCAGAAGCCTTAACATCCATCACCATTTCCTCTTCTTCTATTTATAGCTAGAAAAGTCAATCCACNCATTTATAGCTACAAAAGTCAGTCCACAGGTTGAATCCTACATAGATCTGTCTTCAGTAGATCCCTAAGGCAAGTTTTGGGGAGTTAAGTGGCTATTTCTATAAGCTCAGTCCTACAGAGGGGCTGACGCACTGTAAAGTAAGTATTTCANAAATTTTGAGGAGTTAAGTGGCTATTTCTATAAGCTCAGTCCTACAGAGGGGCTGACGCACTGTAAAGTAAGTATTTCACCTTTGGGGCACAATGACCAAATAATTCCCTTCTCCAAACTCAAATCAAGAGATCTGTGTGTAAAATAGCTAACTAGTTATATATTTCCTCTGTTAATTTGAAATATTTTCAGGGGTGCATCAATTGAGATAACAATTTAATATATTGGAAATGTAAGGCCTTAAATTTGCTTATTATAAATTTTAAGTTTGCAATTCAATGCATTTAAGAAGGAAAATTTAACCTCTACAATACTGCCCTCTAATGGCATAACAGTATAAAACCAGAAACCAAAAAACGCTACTTTTCTAATCTATAGACAAGTTGCCATCACAAATAATTCCAACGTAAAATTTGACCATAGAACATATACATATGTATATATTCTATTTACACACACACACACGCGCGCGCGCACACACACACACACACACACACAGTCTTGCCTTTTCTTTCCCAGGCAAGCATTCTCCCTCAAGCAGCATCCTTTTAATTTTGGAAATTTTAATTAGCATCAGAGCCTTTCAGACATTCTTTTAAGTTGACCCAATACTGACAGGGAGCATTTGGTTTAAAAAACTGCACACAGTGAGGAGGAACCCAATCTGGTGAATGCGATAGATAGAGGATAGAAAGGGCAACTCTCGTTTGGGTTAAAAACCAAACAAAGTGTGACTGACTATAAAGCAATAACATATCTTTTTGGTAAGGTTTATATTATTCTCCCAATTTTAAACCTTTGTTTTTGAATAACACGGAACATTTGTTAGCATATTGATAATTTATAAAACTTAATATGTATACTATCTCATGATAGAAATGTATTTGAGGAAGGCACCCATTTTTAGTAAAAAGAAACACAGTAAGTGGAAGCTTAAAAACCATAACTTGGGGAGCAGGCATGTGGTCCCTATGCCTATAAATGCTAGACAGAATTATTACTTACTACATAATAGTTTCTATATTTAAAAGTTATCACTAAAACTATCTGTAATTAAGTCTATTTACATATTTGAACCACATAGGAAAACTTAAAGTATCATTTTAAGCTTTAAAAAGTGGAAAAAAAACTTTAAGGTCATCTACAGAAATAAATTAAAAATTCCCAGCTACAGTTTAAATTACTGAATTTTATTTATTCATGATGTTCTTAAACACAAACAGAAATAAGTTGGTTTTGTTTTTCATTTCATTCATTTCAACTGATCATCCATTGTATTAAGCTACACAAGCCAAAACACAGGCAACCATAGTCTGTTTAACACATATAACTTATAGTCATCCCCAATATTTTGCTATATTAAATAAAATTGCAAGAAATGCCTTTGTACATACATCCTTGAACATTTGTGTATATATTTCTAGAGTATTTGCAGGACCAAAAGATATGCAACAAAAAAGATTAGAAACATATTTCTTTTCATAGCTTTCAAATTAATGTGCTAGATTTCTTTAAAATTAGATTTTTATATGAAAACTAAAAAGATAATTTTAAAAAGAAGGCAAAGGAATTAAGAGGAAAGCTCCATAAAGGAAAACCCATGGGTCAGAAATTTCTGAAGCACAGATAGCTGGAATTACTCTTAAAAATTCTTCTCTTTGCAGGACAAAACATCTGAGTCTAGTGCCTAGCCGGAGCTCAACCAAGACCAGCTGACAGGACAGGGAAAACACTACCGTGCCTGCAGGAGAGACTCCGAGGGCATGGACGATAAGAATCATGTCAGGCACCGGGCAGAGACCAGGTCTCAGGCAGTGGGGAATCTGGAGCACAGGAAACAGCCTGGACGTTAGAGATGGTATTTTGCTGTTGTATTTGCTTTTCTGTTGTTCTGCCAAGAGCCTTTTTACCTGGGTTCCAGTTCAATCACTTCTGCATATTAGTAGCACACATGCTAGGATATGAGGAGCAAGGGCAGAGCCCGTGTGTTTCTAATTCAGTAACATGTGCTTTTCTCCCGAACTTGATCTGACCTGACCAATATAGGTAACAACTGGGGAATCCATCACTCAGATAGGATAATCGATGTCTCCCCTGTCCAGACTCTTTACAAATCTAAAGTGACTGCTAGGGAAGAGGCTAAAGCATGTCACCCTGCAGCTGACCAAGTCACTTCCCCTTTCCTAGTTTATTGTCACTGGGCACGGGAATAGGGTTGCCAGGCTTAGCAAATGACATTACAGGACTCCCAGTTAAAGGTGACTTGCAGACAAACAACAAGTAATGTTTTAGTGTTGGATCCCACATACTGTCAGAACAAGAAGCAATTCAAAAGAAATCAAAACAAGAAAATTAAAACTTATTTTAAATTTCCTCAATTTCTATTAAAAAGTTGGAAGATAAAGTTGAGAAAATCTATAAAAAGGAAAGAGAGATGGAATTGAGAGACAAGAGACTATGGGATGAATCTAGGAGGTCCAACATCAAAATAGAATGAATTCCAAAAACACAGAACAGAGGAAATGAAATTATAAAATAAATAACTTAAGATTTTTCCAGAACCGAAGGGCACAAGTCACCAGATTAAATGACATAACCAAATGGCGACCACAATAAATGAAAAAGCAGTACATCATCATGAAACTAAAGATCACTTGGACAGGCAAAATCCTAAAAGCTTCAAAACAGGAAAAAAATATTTATAAACACAGGAACTAGTATCAGAATGGTTGTGCCTGCTGCCAGAAAACAATGGAGAAAAGTTCTGGAAGAAAAAGATTTTTCAATTGGCCGAATCATTACCTAAGTGTAAAGGGAGAATAAAAACATTTTCAGACATTTCAGACACCAAAACAGAGAAACAAACCTAGAAAAAGGGTTAAACAAAATGAATAAATTCTAGAGATCTGCTATACAGCCTTGTACCTATAGTCAACAATGCCGTGTGAGACATTCAAAAATTTGTGAAGAGTATTTTTCACAACTCGGGTTAGGTGAAAAATTTTATTAAATACATTTTTAAAAATAAAAATTTTAAAAATAAGAAATATTGTATATTCCAAAAGTTAATGGGAGGGTAGGGGAGGGGGGGACACAAACACTGGAAAGAAGGAAGGGAATCAACAGGGTGATGGGAAAGGAAGCCTCCAGATGGCAGCTGCTAAGCTGGCCTAAGCAGCAACTGGTCTATAATGGGCATAGGAAGATGAGAGCCCTTGGGATGGGGAATTCCAGTGGGCATAAACAGAAATGTCTGAGCAATCGTAAGGGGCAGGGAAGCTACAGATAGGTATATGACAGGTCTAATGGAGCAATTAGATAAGTCTGAAGACAGTTTTGTAGAAAAAAGAAAAATGGTATGCTTATAAATAAAATCTACATGATTATACTAATTTTTATTGGTTTAACTTTTAAAAGGTAACTATTGGGAAGGTGGTGGGAAGAAAAAAATGTGTGGTAAGAATGGTTTAAAAGTGCTAAATCCTAATCTTCTAGGTGTAGCTTGATTAGAAAATATAAAAATTGAAAGAAG